AGTTATATTGTAGGCCATATTGTCTACAAATGTGGCCGTTTGCACAGATTTAGAAAGGGCTGCCACAGCGATGCTGGCAGTAGTAAGAATAACAACAACCAACATAATGGCTGCAGTGAGTATTCCCAAAAATCTTTTGGGCCATAATTGGCTTAATGCTTTTTTTAAGACTTTGATAGCTGATGAGCCTTGTCATTTTTTGGTGAGATTAACAGATATTAGGATTTGTGTTTTTTAAGTACCATAATAGTGCTGATGTTTAATGAAGCAATATTTTGGGTGGTAATACAGGACGTAAAATAAGCTTTTTAAAAAATCTGTATCAGAAAAGATGAATTATGGCTTATTAGTAGATTAGGGCCCATAGCAAAGACATAGGGGTGAGTGGTGTAAATCAGGCTATTGTCAGTAAGATTATTAGTAAAAGTTATATTATAATGGCTAGAGCAGTTTTGGTAGAAATTGTGCCACAATTTTAAAGGGCTGAAAATATGGCCTAATTTTTTGTTTGTTTGTTTGTTATTTAATTTCTTTTCTTTTCTTTTTTTTTTTTTTTTTTGCTTAAAGTATTACAAAGGGTATTACATATGTCTCCTTTTTTCCCCTACCCTTGACAATCCCCTGGCCTCCCCTACCCCCCCAGTGTCTTATGTAATATGGCCTAATTTTTATAAAGCTTTTTGAATTGACAAGCCTAGTACTTGAGGTCGTGGGGGATTTATTTATTTATTTATTTTTAGTTTAAACCTTAGGTATGTTTGTATAGCCAATGTAACTAGCTTTAGACGCATGGTGTATCAGAATGTTAATGTGGTTGGCTTGTAAGTGCCCGTGTCGATTTTCATTTATAACTTGTTGGTCCCCTAGGACTGTTAAATGGGCATGATTTTTTTGATAAACTTTTTAATGAAATGCCTTAGCAGAGGAATTTTACTGCTTATTTTGTTTACATGGAGGGATGGGAGGCACAGTAGCATTAGTTAGATTACCACAGGCCAGATTGCCTGCTGAGAGAAATATTTAATTTATTAAATTGCTTTAAAAATGCTTTTTTATATTTGAAAAACAAAAGTTTAAAAATTAGTAACATTTAAAAAATATATACTTATTGATTTTTTTACAGAGAGGAAGGGAGAGGGATAGAGAGTTAGAAACATTGACGAGAAACATCAATCAGCTGCCTCCTGCACGCCCCCTACTGGGGATGTGCCTGCAACCAAGGTACATGCCCTTGACCGGAATTGAACCTGGGACCCTTCAGTCCGCAGGCCGACGCTCTATCCACTGAGCCAAACCGGTTAGGGCAAGAATTAGTAACATTTTTAATAAAAGTTATAAAAACAATATAATTATTTTTTAGTTTTATAATAAAATTGTTTATTTTTTGCTAGTGTTTTTGTAAATTTAGAAATTTTATAGAATAATTAAATATGGAATTTTGTGTTTTTTGTAAAACACAATACTCCAGAATATTATAATTTATAACAATTAGTTATAAATGAAAGCATATTAGATTTTATTTAATATGTATATATAAATAGAATATAATTATTATTTTTTATATATTTTAAGTATAAATTTTTTTATGAGAGAAAATAAACATTTGAGGCATTTTAGAGCCTATTGAAATGATTTAAAGACAATTTTAGGTCAAGAAAAAGTTTTTTAGTTGTTCCTCTGCAACAGAGGCACCATCTGCGTTTAATAACTGTTTCAGCACTGTCATGTATTGCTGCTGTTTTGTGGACAACTGTTGTCCCATTATGAAATCTTAGCTGAGAAAGAATTTCCTCGAACTTGGAAATCCCAGGCAGGCTCCAATAACTTACTGCACAGTTACTTTAGTTTTCTTCCTCTTCATTTTCGAGGGTTCCACTGTGTTTCGTTGCATTCCTGGCCTCCTCACATGGGCGGGGGGGGGGGGGGGGGCACCAGCTGCCGGGGCTGACCAGCAGCCCGAGCGATGGATGAACAGATTACTCCAACACAGGTTTCTGTGAAAGAGAGGGCTAAGGGACTCTTACTTCAGTAGTGAAAGCAGTCCTGTTCACCTGCTTTGTTGGCTTTTTATTGTAATAACAGCTTGAACTCAAATTAACCTCTAGATACAATCAGCAGGGCAAGTATCCTTGAGAAAGTATATGCTTCTACAAGGTCAGGTCATTAAAGGGTAAACAAAGATTCTAGCAAAACACCCCAGGGGATCAGACTTGTTTGGAAAAGTCAAAATAGAGGCTGCTGCAGAGGCCCCTGACCTTTCAAAAAATCCTTACAAACATTCCAACAAAGTCCCGTGCTTCCCCACAAAACATCATGTTAATTTACCAGGAGTTACAGTATGGTGTGGTTTATCATCAAGAGGATTAATTGGACATTATTTTTGATGCTATTGTGACTGGTCCCACTTACTTGAACTTACTGCAACAATTTTTCATGTCACGCATTAAGAGAGGTCTTTGCAGTTGTTTATTTTCAGCAAGATGTGGCACCCCCACACTATCATTGTGGTGTAAGATTCTACCTTGATGAGATCTTGCCAAACAGGTGGATTGGACGAAGGGGTTTTGCAGAATACCCTCCTTGTTTACCAGACCTCACACCTCTCAACTTTTATGGGGATACTTAAGAGATAAAGTCTATGTTACAAAACTGGCAATAGTCTCGGAATTGAGAGTAGCCATTGAACAAGAATGCACTCAAATACCAAATGAAACGTTTCTAGATGTTTGCGATTCCATTGCTTTGTGTTAGCAGTGCCTGGACCTGAACGGACATCAGTTTGAAAGGTGTTGACAAACAATTACAGTGTCTGTAGATTATATTCCATTTTGAAAAATGTATTCTTTTATTTTTAAATGTAGCTTTATTGTTGAAAGTATTACAGGTGTCCCCTTATTTTTCTATTTATCCCACCCCGTCACCCCTGGGCCTTCACTACACTATTGTCGATGTCCATGGGTTATGCATATATGCGTGTAAGTTCTTTGGGTAATCTTCCTGCCCCCCCTCCCCTCGGAGATTCATCATTCTGTTCCATGCTTCTATGTCTCTGGATCTATTTTGTTCAGTTTATTTTATTCACTAGATTCTGCATAATGAGATCATGTGATATTTGTTTTTCTCTGACTGGCTTATTTCACTTAATACTCTCTCGGTCCCTCTTTGCTGTCTCAAAAAGTAGGAGATCCTTCTTTTTTACAGCTGCAGAGTATTCCATTGTGTAAATGTACTACATCTTTTTTATCCACTCATGGGCACTTGGGCTGTTTCCAGATCTTAGCTATTGTAAACAGTGCTATGAACATATATTTTTTCGGATTGGTGTTTCAGGATTCTTAGGATATGTTCCCAGAATTTGGATCACTGAGTCAAACAGCAGTTCCATTTTTTACTTTTTTGAGGAAACTCCATACTCTTTTTCCATGGTGGCTGCACCACTCTGCATTCCCACCAGCAATGTACTAAGATTCTATTAGGGTTCCCTTTTCTCTACATCTTCTCCAGCACTTGTTGTTTGTTGTTTTGTTAATGGTAGCCATTCTGACAAGTGTGAGGTGATACCTCATTATCGTTTTAATTTGCATCTCTCTGATGATTAGTGACTTTGAGCATTTTTTATGTACAGGGCCATCTGTATGTCCTCTTTGGAGAAGTGTCTAGGTCCTTTGCTCATTTGTTAATTGAATGGTTTGTCTTCCTTTTGTTAAGTTGTATGAGTTCTTTACTAGTATATATTTTGGAAATTAACCTCTTATCAGATGTATCATTGGCAAATATGTTCTCCCATGCAGTGGGCTTGTTATTTTGCTGATGGTTTCTTTTGCTGTGCAGACGCTTTTTATTTTGATGTAGTCCCATTTGTTTATTTTCTCCTTTGTTTCCTTTGCCCTAGGAGATGTATCAGCAAACATACTGCTATGAGAGATGTCTGATATTTTGCTACCTATGGTTTCTTCTTGGATTTTTATGGTTTCACAACTTACATTTAAGTTTTTTTTTCATTTTGGGTTGATTCTAGTGTTTGGTGTAAGTTGGTGGTCTAGTTTCATTTGTTTGCATGTACCTGTCCAGTTTTCCCAACACCATTTATGGCATTATTCGCAGATAACATGGTATTGTACATAGAGAACACTAAAAACCCCACCAAAAAAAACTAGTAGGCTTATTAGTAATGAGTTTGGCAAAGTAGCAGGATGCAAAATTAAAATCCAGAAATCAATGGCACTTTTATACACAATAATGGGCTCTAAGAAAGAGAAACTAAGCCCAGCCAGAGTGGCTCAGTGGTTGAGCATCGACCTCTGAACCAGGAGGTCACGGTTCCATTCCCGACCAGAGCACATGCCCAGGTTGTGGGCTTGATTCCCAGTGTGGGAGGTGAAGGAGACAGCTGATCAATGATTCTCTCATCATTGATGTTTCTATCTCTCTCTCCCTCTCCCTCTCTGAAATCAATAAAATAAAATAAATTAAAAAAAAAGAAAAACTAAAAAAATCCCATTTACCATTGCAACAACAAAAATAAGATACCTTGAAATAAATTTAACCAAGGAGGTATATGACCTGTATTCAGAAAACTACATGACATTGAAATAAATAGAGGAAGATACAAACAAATGTAAGAATATGCCATGCTCATGGAATAGAAGAATTAACATAATCAAAATGTCCATACTACCCAAAGCAATCTATAGATTCAAATCAATCCCTATTAAAATACCAATGGCATATTTCAACAACAAATACTCCAAAAATATATATGGAACCAAAAAAGACCCCAAATAGCCTCAGCAATCTTGAGAAAGAAGTATAAAGTAGGAGGGATGATATCAAATTATACTACAAAGCCATTGTAATCAAAACAGCTTGGTATTAGCACAAGAACAGGAATATAGATCAGTAGAACATAACAGAGACCCCAGAAATCACCCCAAGCCATTATGCTCAATATTTGAAAAAGGAGGCAAGAGCATACAATAAAGACAATCTCTTCAATGAAGTATTGGAAAATGAAATGTATTTTAATAAACACTGCCTTTATAATTATTCGAAGTGTATATACATTTTACTTTTTATAAGTAGATTTACTCGGCCAAAGAATATCCCCCCTTTTAAATTTCTAGAGCTGGTGATAAATAATATCCATAAAAGTTGTATCAATTTACACCCTCACAAACAGTGTATGAGGTTCTGTTTTGCTACAGTCTATCACAGAATGTCAGTAAACTGATGTGTGCAAAAAAAAAAAAAGGCTCATGTTTATTTGGATGAAAACACTTTGGAAATAGTACATGTCTATATCTTGTTAAGCTGAAGTATGCTCAACTGTAATTTAACCTTTTCTTAATGATTCAGGTTCTTTATTAGAAACTATACTTTTATAGGTTATAAAATCTGATGATCGTGTTTATTAAAATTATTCTTAAAATAAGAATAGATTTAGGGTGGGGTCCTGAAGGTTTCTCCTATGAGTAAAACACATGAGCTTTGGTATCTGTCCTAAACTTTTCATTTCCCACTTTCATGTGGGAAATAATAATCTAAAATTTTTATTTTAGATTATTAAAATAGCCTCCTCTATTATATTTGATAAACTTGCACTGAACATTTATCCCATCTTAGATGCAAAGGTACAGAGATGAATCTCAAGGAGCTCATATCTAAGTGGTAAAAAACAGAAGTTAGTAATTAACATAGTGTGTATAGTGTGATAGGTGTTGGTGTAGACAAGATGTTATGGGAAGAACCCCACAGGGAACTGGCCTTGTTTTGGTAATTAGGAAAGTGAAGGAATTCAACTCTGGTGAAGTGACAAATGCTTTCATTTGAGCCAAGTATCAAAGGATGCATAAAAGCTAGCTAGCTAGTGGAAAAAAGAGAGTATGTACAAGCATTCCAAGCAACATAAATAGTGGAGGGAATTCGGGTGCTCAAATGTGAAGAGACTTCCATACCATGTGAGAAGTTTGGAAATATTCTTAAAGAGATAGTTGGTCATTTTAACTCTATTCCATCCTTCCATACTATGCGATAGCTTTTTGAAACCATGTTATTAAACCTGAATTTGGACTTCACCTGTATTTCTAGCTGTGATCTCTCCATGCACTGACTGTGCCAGCTACACCAGAATGCTTGCTGTTTCCCAGACATGCTGCTCCATCAGGACTGCACGTCCTTCTCCCCCTTATCAGATCCATACAGATCTGCCTGCAAGGCTCAAATGCCACCTCCACCAAAGTGCTTCCCTGAACTTTATCTCCTCTCACCCCTATAGGTCAGTGATTTTCAACCAATGTACCACAAGAATTTTTAAGATATGTGATACCTGACTATTGAGTCAGGGGCACTGACCTCTTTTCCCTTAGATTGTCAGATAAAAAAAAGTGACAACAGCCATATATTATCTAGCAGAGTAATCGGAGATACTCAGACATCTTCTCTGGGACACTGAGTCAATATCCTGTGTTGCTTAGGGTTTTTGGAGGGGCAGGGAGGATAGCTGGAAACTGATAGGACAGGGGTACCAGGTTCTATTTGACAATGATTTAGAGTAGCCCTTTGTATCTCTACTTACTACCTTATAACATACATACTTATGGTTCCTTTTTAAAGTGCTGTGTATTAAGCTGTGAGCTTAATCAAAACCATGGCTATAACGCCCTAGCTGGTTTGGCTCAGTGGATAGAGCATTGGTCTTCAGACTGAAGGGTTTCAGCTTCCCTCCTGGTCAAGGGCACATGTCTCAGGTTGCAGGTTCGATCCTTGGCCCTGGTTGGGAGGCAGCCAGTCGATGTGTCTCTTGCATCACTGTTTCTCTCTGTCTCTCCCCCTCCCTGCCACACACACTCTAAAAATCAATGAAAGAATATCCTCGGGTGAGGATTAACAACAAAACATGGCTATGACTAGAAAGAGGTATGAAAGGATTTCTGGGGTGCTAGTAACATTATCTTGCCTTACTTGGGTGCTAGTCACTTGGGAGATGTTCACTTTGAAAAATTTACCATGATGTAGTAGTCTTTTAATTTTAAATGACCTCCCGTTTATTTTAGAATACCTTGTTTAATCTTGCTTTACATAATTTACAGCCAGCCTATCCTGACTGGCAGTTTTCTTATAGAGGCTTCTATGCTGCTTGTCTTTGTTCTTCCTCTTTCCCTCTATGGACAGACCTCCTTGAAATCAATAATAACATCTTTAAAAATGTACTGCTATCAATCCTATTTCCTATTCCTCCAATCCTGAGGGTTCAGAGCCCACAGCAGATCCCTTTCGTCTCTTATTAGTGGGCTTCCTTCCTAGCTCTGGTCTCTCAGGACCTCCCCTCCTTCCTACAAGTGGATGGTTCTCTCTCTCTCTGTGTCAACTCTCTGACTTCAGCTTTATTTTCCCCAAAAATTGAAGTCACAGCCATGACTTCTAGACTGCCACAGACAGGCTCTGTCCTGCAATGCTGAAAAATATCGCTCAGTCTTTAGTGTTGACAAGAATACTCCTTCCTGGGAAATGTAGTATATTGACTTTTGAGTGGAAATCAGTGTTTTAACTAAATTTGAATTAAGAAGACACAACTTTGGATACAATTCTGAGAAGGTGGGGAAGAAGAAAGGGAAGAATAGTTATTTCAGGATTGTGATTAATTTTAAGATATGTCTTCATTGTTTTAGAAAGCGCTAAGAACAATATGTAGTAACTGCTAAACTATAATTTTCATGATTCAGAGAATGCAAAAGGTCTTTCTTTTAATATACCCATATGATATTTGTAGTCATTTGAAATCTTTAGTTTCAGGGAAATGGAAAACTTTTCTTTGAGGGATGTACAAGTTCGAACATGCCCCCCTCTAACCAAGCTCAAAATGGTTGACATTCACAGCCCTGTAGAATATGTTACAACTGTCTATCCACACTGATCAATTTTAGAAGGTACTGCTTTCACGTGATGTGGTTTCTTCTTTATGTGGCATATTAACTAACAAAAGGGAAGGAACGTGAAATTAACTGACTGCCATGCTTTGTGTGGCCTGGTGAATAAACAAAAAGTAACATGGGAGTATTTAGTCAACAATATTTATAAACAAGTCCTATACAATATGACTACATGGCAAAAGTCTAGATAAGTGATTTTTAACCTTTTTCATCTTAGGGCACACATAAACTAATTACTAAAGTTCTGTAGCTCACACAAAAATACGTTTTGTCGATCAGACGAAAAAATAGGTATTAATTTGATTTATTCACACTGGACAGCTACTGTTGTGTTGACTGTTGTCTTTTTTTACTTGACAATCTAAGAGAAGAGATCAGTGCCCTAACTAGTCAGGTATTGCATGTTTTAAAAGTTCTTGCAGCACACCAGTGTGCTGAGGCTAGATTGTTGAAAAATCCCTAGTCTAGATTGTTGTCTTATTTTAGGAAAGTCTAAGAAACAGTTTCCAGAATGGGAAGTGGGGTGGGTTGGGGGGTGAGGAACTTGATTCAATCTAGCACAGTAGGCCTCAGCCACCATCCATGCAAGTAACCAGCAGAAACAATAAGCCCAGGCCTGGAACACAAGTAGCCAAAACCAGCTTTCAAGCCTTCCCCAGAGGGGCCAGAATAAGTGGCTGTAAAGCTACATCCACTTACCTACTCAGCTGACTCTAGCTCCCACATCTTCTATCCTTGTAAGCACAGAGCTGGCTCAAAGTGAGAGCACCAGAGCCTGCATATAGTAAATGTGGAAGAAATGTTTCTATTCCCATAGCTGCTGCTAACACCACCACTGTTACATTACGTGAACACACACTGCCCGTAACCACAGGGTTCATGACAGCTACTTTGGCTTCACCCTAATGATAAGGGCTAGTGTTGACTGAGCTCTTATTTGCCAGGCAGTACCAAGCTTTTTTTTTTTTTACTTGTAACACAACAATGATGCCAGGAGGCATGGGCTACCATTACTAACTACTACTTACTGATAAGGAAACTGAGACTCAGAAAGATTGTTACTCACTCACAGTCATTCAGTCAGGTGGAGAGCTAAAACTTGAAGCTAGAAGTTCTGAGTTCGGACAGAGCCCCACTCTTACCACTATCTGGTACCGCCTCTCCACCTGGTCTGCTAACATTGTATTACCAGCTTTCCTCTATTAGCTGAGCCCCCTCAACTCCCCAGGCACAGTGATTCATCACAATTATCTGGGTATGACACTAAAAGATTCTGAAGTTCTCATTTGTTGAAATCAGTCCCAGGACCTACTGTCTCAGGCAGTGAGGAGAATAATGGCACCCTTCTCTGCTGCTTAGAGGGATGGAGCTAGGAATAGCAGTCCACCCCAGGTCTCATGAGGATGAAACTTACAGGTAGTCCTATTCTAGGAAGAACCAGAAGCACAAAATGTCCCCATTCTTGGCTGGCTTGACAGTCCATTTTCCCCCCTTGACCTCTATGCACTGTGGTTTAGTTTGAACTTCTGTGGGTATAATATATCTCTGATTTTCAAATTTCTATTTCCTGTTAATTCTATCTGTCCCAAGAGGTGACAAATATGAACTTTACATTCATTAGAAGATAAAAGCAAGCTTTGAAATGCAAGAAAAATAACATTTGAGTAAACAGTCATAACATTTACATTCAAGTTCTATTGCAAGATGGCAAAAGTTCAGAAACATTTAAGGACTATAAGTTTCGTTAAATGGTTCCATATTTTTGTTGAAATATATAAAAATATTTTCTAAAAATATGACATAAAAGACAATGTAAAATTCATATTTTACAGAAACATTTAAGTTCATCCTCAAATGTTTCTTTTTAATAATCTAACTGCAACTTTCAGGTCTAGAGGGAAAGAGTCATTTTAAACCTTCTGTGACCACTGTTTACACATTTAAATTATGGGGAAGAGTCTATTAGAACTTAGCTTTTCAACTATTTAAAATAAAAGCAAGACACAAATCAGTATGCAGTCAGATGTGACAGGAGAGCCAAGACAGTTCTTAAAAAACCACGAGTTGCATTAGGTAGAAACCAGAGTCTAGAAATTCGTTTTCTTCTTCCTTCATTCCTGCTGGTAACTGCAGAAGTCCATATCATGCTCCCTTAAGTTTCTTGCTGTTATCTTCACATTATACACAGATCTCACAGTGCATTATACTCCACACATTTTGATGGATCTGTAGGAAAGTGCTTCTGGCAAATCGTCATTAACCTCTTCAATCCCTAAGAAAATAAAGAAAATAAAGGTTATGATACAGTGAAGCTTTTCTAATTGTCCTGTACTCACTCCTGATTACCAATATCCCCATTAAAATGTGGCAGTGTGGCTCGGTTGGTTGAGCATCATCCCAAGCACTGAATGGTTGCTGGTTCGATCCCGAGTCAGGGCATATACCCAGATTGTGTGTTCGATCCCCAGTCAGGGTATGGGAGGCAACCAATTGATGTTTCTCTAAACATCGCTGTCAGCCTCTTTCTCTCTTCCCATACCCCTCTCTTCAAAAACAATTTTTAAAAATATTTAAAAACAGAATCAAATTTATAAATGAAATAAAATATGGCAGTTCCCAGCAATACCACTCACATGTATAATTAGAGAAATGTTTATTCATGTATACCCAGAGATATGTACAAGATGGTAATAGCAGAATTGTTCACAATAACAATAGCAAAAGAACCGGAAATAACCAAAATGTCCATCATAGGAGAATATATCAAAAAGTATGCTCACAAATGGAACATTTTACAGCAGTCAAAATGAATTAACTAGACCTACATGAAACAGCTCAGCCCTTCTCCACCAGGTTCCAGTAGAGAATTAAGCCCCACTGCCTAGCATAAATCATCCATGTACATAATGAGACAGCTCCTTTCCTGTGTATCTAAAGGGTGCTACATATGTACCATCTTGGAAAAACATAATAGGCATGCCCAGCTGCTGTGGCTTAGTGGTTGAGCATCAACCCATGAACCAAGAGATGGCTGGTTTAATTCCCAGTCAGGACACGTGCCCGGGTTTCAGGCTCAATCTCCAGTAGGGGACATGCAGGAGGCAGCCAATCAATGATGTTTCCATCACTCTATGCTTCTCCCTTCCTCTCTAAGATCAATAAAAACATTTTAAAAGAAAATAGGAAGTCAAATCATCATCTGTGTTCTGTGGTCCAGATGGGGAATTCTGGTTGAAAACAACTGGTAGGCATAAATCTTAGAAACAATGTTGAATGTAAATAGCAAGTGGCACCCTAGCCAGTTTGGCTCAATTAATAGAGCACTGGCCTGTGGACTAAAGGGTCCCGGGTTCGATTCTGGTCAAGGGCACATGCCTGGGTTGCAGGTTCGATCCCCAGTGTGGTGGCATGCCAGAGGCAGTCGATCAATGGCTCTCATCATTGATGTTTCTCTCTCTCTCCCTTCTCTGAAATCAATTTTAAAAAATAACAGCAGCAAGTGGCAAAGGCTGCATACAGTATAATAGCATTTTAATAAAACTCAAAAACAAGAAAAAATAATATACTACTTAGAAATACAGATATAACATGGCAGGATTATTTTTGAAAAAGCAAGACAAACCAGGCTGGTGTGTCTCAGTGGTTAAGTGTCAATCTATGAACCAGGAGGCCATGGTTCCATTCCTGGTCAGGATACATGCTCAGGTTGCAGGCTTGACTCCCAATAGGGAATGTGCAGGAGGCAGCCTATCAATGATTCTTATTGATGTTTCTATCTCTCTCTCCTCTCTTCCCTCCATAATCAATAAAAATGTATAAAAAAAGAAAAAGCAAACATAAATTCAAAATAATGGCTATTCTGGGGTACAGAAGGAAAATACAGATCCATGAACTTCAAAATGCTCTATTTCTTAAACTAGGCCTTTCTTTTTAAAATCCCCACTCACATGCTTAGAGAGAGGAAGGGGGAGAGGAGGGAAACAGAGAGAGATACATCAGTTGGTTGCCTTCTGTACACACCCTGACCAGGGATCAAACCCACAACCTAGTTATGTTCCCTGAATGGGATTCGAACTGATGACCTTTCGGTGCACCAGACTATGCTCAACCAACTGAGCTGAGCCACTCCAGCAGGGCAAGGCCTTTAGATATGTTTTGTTTACTTTAACTTACATGATACATGTGTTCTTTTGTATGCATGAGATACTACACAATAAGATTTTAATAGTGTAAAAACTGAGTATAACATTCCAAATGTGATCTGGCCAATCTTGCAGAATTCAGTATTATGCTACTGCACAGCCTTTGTTCTATACCTTTGGCATCTGTGGTACCATGGCCTTCAGTTCTTTTTAGACAACTACAATACACACCACAAATTCGCATGACCTCACAAATTTCAAGTGCTTTCTATCTCTTCTGCAATTAGGTCAGTTATTCCCTAGTCTATAACTTTATAGTGATAATTACACTGATGACAAAAACCGTCATTCTTAAAAGTCATTCAGTCTCTTGCAACTCATCCTTCAGTCTGTGATCTTTTAAAACCCTTAGCTGGCATTCCATTTTCAGTTATTCCTCTTAACTTTCTCATCCACCAGTTCTAAGTCATGCAAATTAGAATAGTTCTGGAAAGACTTCTGCAACCAGCAATGAATCCTATTAACTATTTTATCTACCAGCCTGCAAATGTTCTTATTTGCAAGGAGAACCTTTGTCAAATGTCTTACTGAAATCTATGTATCTACAGCAATATTGACTAGTCATTAAAAATAACAAACAAAAAAAAAAATAACATCTACCAAGGATAGCAGCACTTAATTTTAATTACATTCAGTGCCATTTTGGGCACAAATTATTTTAAGGTTTCTCAGTTTGGGTTCACAAAAATTAAAATCACCCAACTTCAGGCCTATATTAGATATTGAATAACCTGATAATTAGTATTACTCCCAAATTAATTTTCTGTTCTTAAGAGCTTCATGACCTCGTGGGAAAGCAGAGTATCTATCTATATATATCTATATATATATAAAAACCTAAGTGACCATTAAGACTGGTCAACTGGTCACTATGATGCTCACTGACCACCAAAGGGCAAATGATCAATGCAGGAGCTGCCCCCTGGTGGTCAGTGTGCTCCCACAGCCTACCTCCCACGGCTGTCCAACCTCCCACAGGCCCTACCCCCCCAGCAGGCCAGCCCCAGTCGGCCCTGATCAGGGCGGCTGGCCAACCTCCTGCAGTCCCTCCCCCCGAGCCAACCAACCTCCTAATCCCTTCTCCCAGACTGGGTGAGACGGCCCCAACAGGTTCCGATGGATGGCCAGGCCGAGGGACCCCACCCATACACAAATTCATGCACCAGGCCTCTAATATATATATATGCCTAAGCGATCATCCGACCAGTAGCTATGATGCGCAATGACCATCGCGGGGCAGATGCTCAATGGAGGAGCTGCCCAGCTGCAGTGACTTGGCAGCTGTGGTTCTCAGGTGACGCACCCGTAACCAGAAAGGAGGGAGCCCAAATCCACGGTGCGTCACCCGAGAACCGCCCTCTCACAATCTGGGACCTCTCGCAATCTGGGACCCCTTGGGGGATATTGGAAAGCTGGTTTTGGCCCGATCGCCACAGGCCAGGCCGGGGGACCCCACCAGTGCACGAATCCGTGCACCAGGCCTCTAGTGTGGCTATAACTTCACAACCCAGCACCAGAAGAGCATATCTGGAATCTAAGGAGGAAGGGTTAAAAAAAACACCCTGAAATCATTTTTTTAAAATGCTAATCTATATATATAAAAGCCTAAGCAACTGAACAAAGAAAATAAAACTATAAACACTTTAAAGTTATTTGTGTAGAGAAGTATTGTTGTTATATGTTACTTAAAAATTATGTTCATTAAAGCCAAATTTGTACTATTCATACTCTTTATCGTAGATGTTAAATTTACCTTAAAAATAACAAGATTGCAAAATAGTATAAATTTACTGATTATCACTAAACTTCTAAAGCAAACTGCAATAGTCTTATTTCAATGCTAAGGTAACTAAAAGCATAACCCTTTGCCCTGTCTTGCATCATATATGAAACTTAAAAAGTTTTTATTTTATTTAGTGAAGATGTCTTAATCACAAGTATTTATAAGAAATGAACTTAAATCCTATCATGCTATATCCTATATGCTATAATTCCTTTGCTCTCAAAATACTTGGAACTGGAGAATGTTAACCTCCAGAGAAATGTCCTTTCTATCCAAACTGCTTACCTGAATATATTTCCTCTGTGTTTCATCATTTAAAACATGTGCAACATGCTTGGAGAAAATCTTCTCCCTACCCGTTCTGGCATGGATACCAACCATAGTGACACCAATGGGCCAAGGGGCATTTCCAATGGCCATCTGAAGATAAGCATCATTAGCCTAGAAAGAAAGATTAAGAAGAGATCAGAAAAACAGAAATAATGTATTGGTCCAAATTTTTATTTCAAGTATTTCACAACTCTTGATTCTGTAATTTTCATCCATTTCTTAAGCATGTTGAAAATATTACCATCCTCCTTATTCAAACGAAAGAAACTAAAATATGTAATGACTGACTGTCCTGCCCAGGCCACAGATGTCCATGGAAAAACAGAAACCAAAGCTAACCTTGTGCATAAAAGGACAAACATTCCTCTGCAGCCTCTGTGCACTGACAGTTGATGCATTTCAGATCTGGAATTCTCAGGTAGGTATTTGAAGTACTGACAGAAACCCTAGTGTGAATCTCCTTTCAACCTAGTCTTCTCAACAGGTGATCACAGGGAAGACAGAGGCTAACTAGTTTTCCATAATCCAACCTGAAACTATGTCCACTCCCTGAACAGCAGTCAGACCTCTGAGAGCAGTGGGAGCTCTGCACGCTGGGACTGTTATATAAGGCCCACGGCAGATGTGTAAACAGAGATTAAATACTGGCCCATGAGTCAGATAGCTAAAGGATGAGATTGGCCCTCCAAACCTCCCACCTGGCAAGAACCTTAAAATAAAAGCTACAAAATGTAAAGACAGAAACCAATGAAGACAAATGGCTCCTTTTCTAAACCAAGCCTGGCAACTTGTGAAGAGGGAAAAAAGAAGTAGTAAAACAAAATAGAAAGCAGGTAAATTCTGAAAGACTCTGAGGGTCTCAGAGAAGCTACATAGCCAGGCCTCAAAGAGATTTTAATTTAAAGACATCAAACATCTATGTGTTTGATATGCGGTGTTGATTTTTTATAAAATCAGGTACTACAAATACTAGGTTAACTGAAATACCTAATTCAAAGGTGTACAAAGGAATACAAATAGTAGGTTAACGGAAAGATCATTTCTACCCTGAAGATAAATTTGAATTTGCTCTACTCATTTTTTTTTTCTTTTTTCGCCCGGTCTCAGTCCGAACACACTCCATCATCTGGTTTCCAGAACTCAGATTGCGCAGTGGTCTTGTCATCATTGACCAGGGCTAACAGTTACAGCGGAAGAGGTCTCCCTAAGTCTCCCTCATCTCTAGCCTAACGGGTTGCTCATTTCTCCGTCCCGCTCCCCGGCTCGCCTGACCTGTTATAATCCTCTTAGGCTCTGGGCAAGCGTCGCTGCCAATTATATAAGGGGCCCAGTCATATAAGGAAACTACTGTGGGTTCATCTGGGGGCTGCACTGGGGACCCGGGGACACCCTGCTCTACAACCCTTGCTGCAGCGCCCCCATACCAACCTCCCGCTCCCACTCTGAGACCCCTGCCACCCACCACTGGCCTAGCTTCTCAATTTTTTTAAATCTTAATTTTAAAAGGGCAGCCCTGGCCAGCTTGGCTCAGTGGATAGAGCATCAGTCTGTGGATTGAAGGGTCCCAGGTTCAATTCGGGCCAAGCGCACATGCCTGGGTTGCAGGCTTGATCCCCAGTGGGGGGCGTGCAGGAGGCAGCCAATCAATTATTCTCTCTCATCATTGATGTTTCTCTCTTTCTCTCCCTCTCCCTTTCTCTCTCTGAAATCAATTATATGTATGAAACCTCTCATCACTCCAGAGATTCCAAGAGTTTTTGGAGTTATGTGCCAGGAACTAATGACAAAGATCACATATATATTTTTTACTATATCACAATCGGCCAGGTGAGTCCACAGAGCAGTGAAAGTGCCAACTAGAAGAAAGAAAGGGCCCTGGCCGGTTTGGGTCAGTGGACAGAGTGTCGACCTGCAGACTGAAGGGTCCCAGGTTCGATTCCAGTCAAGGGCACATGCCTGGGTTGCAGGCTTGATCCCCAGTGGGGGGGCGTGCAGGAGGCAGCCAATCAATGATTCTCTCTCATCATTGATGTTTCTATCTCTCTCTCCTTCTCCCTTCCTCTCTGAAATCAATAAAGAAATATATTTTTAAAAAAAAGAAAAAAAAAAGGAGGGGCCACATGCTAACCTGACCCACTCCGGGGAGGCCTGGCCTTGCAAACTCAGACACCTAAAGTGACCACCGAGGATGTTCTGAAATTAAAAAAAAAAAACTTTAAAAAGGGGGGGGGGTAATACACATTTTTATCACTGATTTCTATGTATGTTAATTTTAATACTGGATATTAACTGAAAATTTCCAACATTTAGTTTCCCTAAATTTCCAAAGAAAACTCCCCAAATAGGTTATTTCTCGGTTCTTTCTGTAGTTTACACAAAATAAACTTTTACCTGATTCTCATATATGAGAATGAGAAATGTAACAAGAGGAAAGGCAAGTGATCTAAATTCTTTCTGCAGTGATAGTGACCTAACCGTCCATTCCAATGCAGTCCTTAGTAAGTAGCATGCAACTAACAGAAACTATCTAAGAATAAAGTTTATAGCCATAAAACAAAAACATTTTCTTGGATGAAACTAACTGGCTCTCCTATAGAGGGAATAAAAACAATACCTTAGGTTCATTAGCATGAGGCTCTGATCAAGGAGACCACCCAATCACCCAGGAAGGCCAGCGGTCCCTTCTCGTGAATACAGATACTCAGAGGACAGAAATAAGCAATGTCATTCCCACTTTTCTGTCAGGGCCTGTCTCCTGTTCTGGAACTGTCACTCCAACTGCACTGAAATTCTTACCTGCTACTCTCTTGGGAGGCACAGTCGCCCAGAGCTCCCTCCTCACCCTCAGCTTATGGCCCACCAAGCAGTGTCCTTTACTGGTGCACTAGGCCCTTCTCTGCTTGGTCCCCTCCACCAACTGATAGCCTTCCACTCTCTCCTTTCTAAACTCTGCCCCAGCAGCACTTGGACACCAGAGCTCTTTCCCCGTGCCACCTCCTCCCAGAGGCCATCCAGGAGGAAAGACACTGAAACAGGGAAAAGTCTTCCCCTACAAGGGGTCTGCTACTGCGGCAGTCCTGAAACGGGAGAGATGAACGCTAGGAGCCTGACTTGGAACATTTCTCATAGAAACACATATAAAGGGTGGTAAAATTCCACTGTATCATTAGTACAACACTTCAGGTATTTTACGAATTAAGTAGATATTTATAGCTACATAGCATTGTTTCTATGGGAAAATTTGTTCCAAGCTATAACCAACAATCTACAAATTTCTAAATTCTGTTCCACTCATGAAATGTACCTTGCCCACATCCAGTACATGATCTTAAGAATTTTTACACCTACCTTAAAAATGACTAAAAAATACAGTGTGGTCTGAAAGTTTAACATTGAATGCCCCACAATAAAGCTGACAATACATAAGAAAATAAAAGGATTTAGTTTTGGGTAGGTTTTGTTGTTAATCCTCACTTGAGGATATTTTTCCATTGATTTTTTTAGAGAGACTCAAAGGGAGGGATGGAGAGAGAGAAACATCGATGTGAGAGAGACACATCTATTAGTTGCCTCCTGCACGTGCCAGGACCAGGGCTGGGGAACAAACCTGCAGTGGAGATATGTGCCCTTGACTGGGAATTGAACCCAAGACCCTTCGTTGTGCGGGCCAATACTCTACTACTGAGCCACACTGACCAGGGCAAAAGATTTTTGTTTTTTAACTACTAATTCATTTTACATTTCTTCTCAGTTTCCTATGTAAAACTCTCCCACACTAAATGAAATATAATGTACACAACCTAGATAGACAAATAACCATACTTCCAAAGCACAGCATGATAATATACCTTCACATATTCTCTCTGTAACATGAATTTAATAATATCTGTTATGGATTCTTTAATATCAGCAGGAAGATTCTGGAAAAGAAAAAAAGCATAATTAAATTTGGAAGCGACTCTGTAGTTACAGACTGCATTTATTCTAATTTTATATATCCTATTTTTAAAAATCAGTTAATAAAAGCATTTTTTTGAGAAAGCTTACCCTTTTCCGTAGCTTTCTGAAAAGGGGTCTGAGATAGGACTCGGTCTGTTTCTGAGTAGCACTGTTCAGTTTACCCTGCACACTGCGCTTCACATAATCTTCTCTGGCATTCAATTCTTTAGCCCAAACACCAAGAAGAAACTATTGAAAGAATGGGTAAAATTAGACTACAATGCCATCCAGTTGTTGAACAAGTTTAAAGTTCCCCAACACACAAAACAGTTAACTTCATCCTTAAAACCAATGTCTCAACTGATTACAATACCATCCACTAATATTTAATGAATGAACTATACCTGCTTATTCTGTCATATGTTTTGAAGAAGCGCTTCTGGCAATTCACAAACTTTCTTATTCTCTATATATTCCTAGCTCAAAGATAATCCATTTTCCCCTAAAAATATTACCTGAGTAACTATCTGATAGAAATAAGCTTTTACTTGCATTTTTATTATATAAAATTTACCTAGATCATCAGCCATATTAACATATGTGCTGTGATATTTAATGAATCACCCAAGTATGTTGTTGTAGTATTTGGACTTTCTACTTTTACAGTAGAAACAATAATTCAATTTAAAATTCCCACTAACGTGCCTAACTTAAAGAGCAGGAAAGAAAAAAAAGGAACAGAAATAAAAGAAACTATGATCCATACCCTCCCCTGTCCCACCCCGGAAAACTACCGCAATGTCCCTTGGGTTTACCTATATACAGAGCATCCTTCTAGAGGCAGTTAAACAGTGAAGGCTGAGGAGAACATACTCTCCTAGTGCCAATCCCTGTGTAATCCTATATAAGGACAGGCGGTCACTCTCAGAGAAAATTCTAGTTCATATTACCCAGTTCCCATGCCCTATCTAGTTCCCTATCATTTCCTCAATTGATGCAGAATCTTGATGACTAATGTTGTATTTAAATTGTAAATGCAAGTAAAAGCATATCTTGCATTTAAATCTCATGGCCTGAACACAAATAATTGATGACTAAATGCTGAAATGAACCTGGGATTTGCACACACTATACCTAAAATAGTAAAGACAGAAATGCTGAGAAGATGGAATGAGCATATCATAGGAAGAATAAACAGCTATCTGTAGAAATGAGAAAATGAAATCCCTAAAAGGTTACTGATGTGTTTGCCAATGTCTTCTTACCTCCTTCCTTTTGTTACTGTCATCACCTCTCATAAAAGGTTCTAGAACTCTACCCTCACTATGCTCCTTCCTAGAATGCTTTAAAAAATGTGGACCTCCCCAAACATCTTGTTCATTCCACTGTTATAATTCTTTTCTTTGTGTTTACGTTAGTCAGTTTTTTTAAAGTGCCAAGAGGAACAGAAATATACTGTCTTTGGTTAACCTCTATATCCAAGCACATTGCAATATCATAAACCATGTACATGCCAGAAATGTTTGAGATTTTCTTTCCCAGTCTTTCACTCGTAACAATACAAAAACATAAAAATAGTTCTTAACTAACCAAAATGTCCTCCTTTCTTAGCCTAAAAGTACATACCTTAAGGAATTTGGTAATGATGTCCATGTCTTTATGATCATCACCTTTTCCTAAAGATTCTCCCAATGCCTAAAGAAAAATAATGCTCCTGTTCATTAGTAAAGAGCAACAAATGAATATATGTTATCAACACCAGTCTAAACATGGCTCTTTATTACACAGACTGTCCAATTTCTATTTAAAAACCTAATGGAATTTCTAAATAAAATTTTTTAAAAACAGTAATTTGCCGTTTAAATTTTGAAAGCATGCTCTTTTATGAATCAAAAGACAGAAGAAGGGGTAAGGGGAGTGATTGCTAATGCATATGAGAATTCTTTTCAGGGCAACAAAATTATTCTAAAATTAGATTGTGATAATTGTACCATTCCATGAATAGATAGGTGCTATGGTGGTGGTTGGGAGAGAGCAATTAAAAGGACATCCTCCTGTGACATCAACATGTACAAGAGCAAGGAATGAAAGGGAAAAAAACTAACACTTCACACTATATTAAGAGCTTTAAACTAAGCCATATTGTTTGCTTGAGGTACATATTTAAGTAATATAATACTGCTCTTTAATTGAAATTACATATAATACTCCACATTCAACACACTGACAAAAATTAGAAAACAAAAGATCGCCCAGTGTTGACAGGGATTAGGGATGTACGAGACACCCTACTGGTAGGGTACAGACGAATACAGCCATCTGGAGAGCAACTTAGCAGTCTTAGACAAGTTGATTATACATAAACCCAGCGATCCCACTTCTGAGTCCATAGGGGTGATGCACAAGATTATTCTTCACAAAGCTGTCTGTGGTTACAGAGAGCAGGGAGCAATCTAGTTGTTCATATTATGGAGGAACACAAGGAAAAGGCAGTGAATGCCACAAGATTTTAAGTATTAGCAGTTAAAAGCAAATGTTTAGACATACATAAGGCATCAAGGATGGATTTTAAAAACAGTTCAAAGTATGAAAAGGAAAAAGCAGAAAGAATTTCACAGTACAATACCATTTATGGAAATAAAAAACACATGCTCACAAAACACTACTAATTATAGAAGACCAACAACAAATAAAATAATGCACATCAAACATACTCGAATGACTACTTTTAAAGGCAGAGAGTAGGGGAATGTGAGTGGAGAATGAGAAAAAAAGAGACTGAATGAATGAAAGCATGAAATGAAAGGAGGGCCTTTGTAATGACCAAAACCGATAGTATGCTCTGAACAGAGTAATCTGATGAACTCAACCATTTGTTGCAGGGAATGAAAGGTGTAATGGGAGACGAGGTAAGGTGGATGTAGATATTACCTCTAACTCTTCAATTGTGGTGTTTTCTTCATGAACTTTCAAGTCATTCTGTGTGTCTTCCTCTCCAGGCTCTTGACCACCCACAAGTTCATTGAGGTATTGCTGATCAATCTTATCCAAAGCTGCTTTCAGATCATTCCTCAATCCCTGAGAAAGGTGAAAAATTATACCTAGTTTGAAATTTCACTGATCTTTCACTTGATTTTTCACTAATCTTACCTAATAATAGACAAACATGTAAATTGACCATACATTCACTACACTAACCAGCCAATCAGGAGAGTATGCAAATTAACCCAACAAAAATTGCTGGTAATTTGCATATATAGGCTCCAAGCGGCGGAGCGAAGACTGAAGGCGGCTCTGGCTGGAGCAAAGGCCTGGGTCCCGGGTGCCGGAGGAAAACCAGTGCTGGAAGCCAGGAGAAGGGAAGGCCTATTGCATGAATCTCTTCGTGCAACAGGCCTCTAGTAATAAGTATAATTCATCTCAGATACCAGTCAAGAGGGCAGAGTAGATAAACACTGTACTTGCCTCCTCCCGTGACCATATCAAAATTACAATTTAAATGGTACAACAACCATCATTGAGAACCACCTGAAGGCTACTATGAACTCCAAAAACCTTCAGAAATGTCAACAGTATAAAACTAGTGTCTCCTCTATATCCTAGGCTAGCAACTACATTTCTAACACCAGCAAATTCCACATTCTATTAACACCCAGTTTGTGACTATTAATAAATATGAAAGCCTTAAACCCTGGCTGTTGTCGCTCAGTGGTTAGAGTGTTGGCCCTAGCACCGAAGGGTCGTGGGTGCAATTCCTGGTCAAGGGCACATATCTGGGTTGCAGGTTCAATCCCCAACCCTAGTCGGGGTATGTGCAGGAGGCAACCAACTAATGTGTCTCTCACATTGATGTTTCTCTCCCCCTCCCTCCTTCCCTTCCACTCTCTAAAAATCAATGGGAAAAATATCCAGGGGTGAGGATTAACAAAACAAAAAATGGAAGGAAGGAAGGGAGGGAGGGAGGGAGGGAGGGAGGGAGGGAGGGAGGAAGGAAACGCTTTAAGCTGAACCCTTAACTTACACAATATATAAAAATTAACTCAAAAGGGATCAAAAACCTAAATCCAAGAGCTAAAACTATAAAACACTTAGGAAAACATAGGGGGAAAGCTTCATGACATTGGATTTGGAAATGATTTCTTATATACAACAGCACAAGCACAGGCAACAACTACAACAAAAATAGAAAAGTTAAAAAGTTTTATGCATCAAAGACACTATCAATAGAATGAAAAGATAACCCAAGGAAAGGGAGAAAATATTTGCAAATCATATATCTGATAAGGATTGACATCCAGAACACATAGAAACTCCTACAACTTAAAAACAGAAAACAACCAACAGGATTAAAAATGGGCAAAGGACTTGAACAAGACATGCAAATGGCCCATAGCAAATGAAAAGATGCTCAACATCACCAGTAAGTAGAGACCACAATGAAATATCACTTCACACCCATTAAGATGGCTATGATAAACAAACAAACCAGAAAATAACAAGTGGTGGCTAGGTGTGGGAACCATGCCAGGTCCCCAGATAGTCAAGGCCGATGAGAGCACAGAGGCCTTGTTATCAATACACCAGAATAGCCAAATGCCGCTCTGAGCATGAGCCTAAATGGGATGTTCAAGGACTCTGAGCCTGGGAATCCTAATCAGACTAAGATACCATGAGTGGCTGCAAGGCCATAGCACTCTGACAGTACACTGTGCCCTTCAGTAGCCACTATGATTGATGTAACTATTGGCACAAAGCCTTCTTTGTCTAAATAGTATAAAAGTAAGTTACTGACCAGCTAGTAAGCTGGAGTATGGAGAGAGAACTAGGATGGAGTGTGTGAAGAAGTCTGCTAGAGAAAGCAGCTGGGCAGGAGACAGGACAAGCTGCTGAGCCAGAGAGCTCAGGTACCACTATGATGTGAGGCAGTAAGTCTAGGAGGCAGCATGTGGCTGCTCAGATAATAGCTGTGGGTACAGAGACTGATGCTGCTTTTTGGGAGATCTACCAGCTGGTGTCTGCCTGCCTGTATGGACTTTCCTGTGAGGAACTGTTCTTGTCTGATGGCTGTGTGGCCACTGGCTTCTGCAACCAAGACTCATTCTTATACACCCACAACCGCTCATGGCTTCTCCATCTAAGACCTGGCATTCAAGGAGGTCCATCCCTAGGCAGGGGGGCTCAGACCCAACACCTATATCTAGTGAGCAGAGGATAACGGGGGAACTTGGACTAAGTTCCCAACAGTTAGTACAGTGGGCAGGGTTCGAGGAAGAACCAGCCCTGGTATAGGCAAATGGGAGAATTTAGAACAGAGGTCCTCAAACTTTTTAAACAGGGGGCCAGTTCACTGTCCCTCAGACATTCCACACATGCGCACTGCGGGCCCAGGACGAGTTGGCTGCTAAGCAGGACAGGCAGCGGCGGCAAAAACACCCGGCGGGCCGGATAAATGCTTTCGGCGGGCCGCGTGTGGCCCGCGGGCCGTAGTTTGAGGACCCCTGATTTAGAATATATGGACTCAAAGCCACTCAGAGCACCAGAGCTCGAGCCGGGCTCTGACACTGCTCTGACACTAGCATATAAATAAATGGGACACTTTGCACTGCTAGAAATGTAAAATGGTGGAGCTGCTGTGGGAAACTGTTGGCAATACCTCAGAAAGTTCAACATACCCACACCAAGACACATTATAATTAAAATGTCAAAAAATAAACACAAGTAGAGATCTTAAAAGGAGCAAGAGGGGAAAAAAATTGTTATACACAATGAAACATGCATGACAATCAACAGATTTTTCAGCAGGAACTTTGCAGGCCAGAAGGCAGTGGCACAACATGTTCGAAGTACTGAAAGAAACAAAGTTCCAACCAAGAATACTCTGCCTGGCAAAATTATAATTCAGAATTGAAGAAAAGATAAAGAGTTTTCCAATAAAGCAAAAATTAAAGTTCGAACTGGCCTTACAAGAAATTGTTAAAGGGATTTTTTAAACTGAAAAGAAAGCTAATTAATAAGAAAACAATATGAATGTATAAATCTCATTGGTAAAGGTACATACAGAGTAGGTAGTGAATTAATCATGTACAAAGCTAGTATGAAGGTTAAGACAAAAGCAATAAAAATAATTATAATTACAGAAATTAGTTTAGGGATACACAAGATAAAAAGATGTAAAATGTGACATCAAAAACATAAAACATGGGCTGGGTGAAGTAAAAATGTAGAACTTTAGAACTTGTTCAAACTTAAGTTCTTACCAACGTAAAACAGACTGTTCCAGCCCTAGCCGGTTTGGCTCAGTGGATAGTGTCAGCCCATGGACTGAAGAGTCCCGGGTTCCTTTCCTGTCAAGGGCACATACCTTGGTTGCAGGCTTGATCTCTGGCCCTGGTCAGGCATGTGTGGGAGGCAACCAATCAATTAGTCTTTCTCACATCGATGTTTCTCTCCTCTGTCTCCCTCTATACAATGGAATATGTTTCGGCCTTTTTTTAGAAAAAAAAAAAGAAATTCTGCCCTGGCCAATTGTTCAGTGGTTAGAGCACTGGCCCACAGACTGAAGGGTTGTGGGTTTGATTCCTGGTCAAGGGCATGTACCTGGATTGTGGGTCTGCTCCCCAGCCCCAGTCAAGGCATGTGCAGGAGGCAATCAATCAATGTGTCTCTCCTGAACAGCCATGTTTTTTTTCTCTCAGTCTCCACCTTCCTCCCTTCTACTCTCTTCCAATGGGAAAAAATATCCTCGGGTGAGGATTTTAAAAACAGGAAATTCTGACACATGCTACAAGACGGATGAACCTTAAAGGTTTTATGTTAACTGAGAAGACTGATCCAGTGGAGCCTTCAGATGATCTTAACCACTCACCTAACTGCAATCACATGCAAGATCCTGAGCCAAACACCGCCAGCTTACCCAATCAAACCACAGAACTGTGAGAGATAATAAATTATCTTAAGTTACTACGTTTCAGAATGATTTGTGATAGTCATAGATGACTGAAAAAGATTTTATAATAATAAATTGTTTTAAGCTACTAAGTTTTTGGTGGTTTGTTACATAGCCATAAATAACTACACCTGTTTCTAAATAATTGCTAGAGCAAGTAGATGATAAAGCCTCAGAATCTCTGAACAACACTATTGTAAATGACATTTATCCCAAAGCATAAAAAATAAAACAGACTCTTTTCAAAAAATTAACCAAAAGAGACCATATGCTGAGCCATAAAACAATATCAGAACTCTAAATGTAAAAGCTAAAACTGTTAAGCTAAAAAAAAAAAAATACAGAAGACTATTTCTTCAAGACCTTGGGACAGCCAAAGGTTTCTTAAGTAAAATACCAAAAGCAATAACCATAAAACCAAAAGCTGATAAAGTGGACTTCACCAAAATTTAAAACTCTCCCCCACAAAAGAAACGAATAAGAGAACAGGTAAACCATAGAGTAGGAGAAAATAGTCACAAAATATATATCTGTATCTTACAAAGGACTTATATCCAGAATAAATGAAGAACTTCTACAATTCAAAAATAAAAAGACAACCTAACTAAAACATGAACAAAACATTTTAATACACACTGCACAGAGAAAAATATAGCCTACAGAAGTCCACAAGACGATGCTCATAATCTTTAGTTATCAGGGAAATGTGAACACAACCACAATGAAACACTATTACACATATAAGAAAATTGTTAAAATTTAAAAGACTAACAATAAAAATGCTGATGGAATTTGGAAATATTTGGCATTTCTTAAAATGTTAAGCATACATTTACTCTTACTATTCAGCAATTCCACTTCTCCATATTTATCCAAGAGAAATGACATAGGTTCAAACAAGATTTGTATAAGAATGTTCAGAGCAGTTTCATTCATTACAGCCCAATGTTGAAAACATATTACGGTATATTCATAAGACTGAATACCATCAGCAATGAAAAGGAACAAACTACTGATAACTGCAATAACATGTAATGCTGATCAAAAGAAGCCAGGCACTATGACTTCATCTATAAGAAATAATAGAACAAGCAAAATTAATCTATGGTGATAGAATTTTATAAAGTGGTTGCCCATGAGTAGAAAAGAAGGATAGGGGATTGGCCAAGAAGGGGTGCTGGAGAACTTCCTTGGGTGATGAAAATGTTCCATATCTTCACAAGGTTGGTGGTTACAAACTTGGATGTATTTGTCAAAATGCACTAAACAAACATAAGATAGGTACTTAAAAAAAATTTTAAATTTATATTCACCAGCAGTCACCTGGCAACTTTTTCATTTTTCCTCTAATAATGCAATGGGTCAGACATCAAACTCCACACTATTCTAGTTTATGTGGTACAGTGATATTCTTCTAGCTTTGGTCTGATTTCTTACCTTGTTAACTTCTGGTGTCAGGATCTCTATTTTTCTTAAACGCTGAAAAGCATCATAATCAGTTTCTCCAAATAGTCTGATTGGTTCTCCTCTTTCTCTCAATCTTCTGATAACCTATTGTTTTTTAAATCAAAAGATAGTAGTAATTCCTTATGTTGTTAGTAATAGCAATTCCTATTTTAGGTGACCAAACACTTATTTTGAAATGCCAGTTGGAAAAGTTAGGTTTATTTTTTCTTTAATTTTCCATGAACAAATATACTGAATCATTGTCACACCTTAAACAGTCCTAATGGGTTAGGTTTTTTGGCTGGTTCAGTAAAGTCACAATTTGTATAATCGAATACATAAGAAAAACATTAAGATGGTAGCAAGTGATAATATTCATATTGAGAAGGAAAATAAAGTTTGGAGTCAGCTGATAACGCAGCTGATGACCACAGCCAAAGTCAGCATTGCAATACTACTTTTAAACCAAACACTGTCTCTTAGGAGAGAAAGTGAGTATGATCAGAATGGGGCACATGCGGGGCTTTTGAAGGGCTGATAATACTACTCTATTTCGCCCTAACCAGTTTGGCTCAGTGGATAGAGCATCGGCCTGCGGACTCAAGGGTTCCAGGTTCGATTCTGGTCAAGGGCATGTACCTTGGTTGCGGGCACATCCCCAGTGGGGGGTGTGTGGGAGGCAGCTGATTGATGTTTCTCTCTCATCAATGTTTCTAAATCTCTATCCCTCTCCCTTCCTCTCTGTAAAAAATCATTAAAATATATTTTAAAAAAATACTACTCTATTTCTTGACTTAGATGATAGTTACACAGGTGTTGTTTAATAATTATCCATTATATTAAACATATGTGTTTTATACACTATATACATGCTATAGTTCACAAAAAGGAGAAACAAAAATTATAATAAGTTTATCCAAATAAAAAAAAAATACCAAGAACTTTACCTGGGAACACACTTAGAAACCACTGGAGGGCTCCCAATGGATTAACTGAAGCTTGATATTAAAAAGAAACTTAAGAGGTCATCTATTGCTTTCTCTAATCAATGCTGAATTAACTCCCAAAAACAACTGTCAGGTCACTGTCTGACAAATGACAGGAATCACATCTCTTCATGAAACAGCCCACCCCATTTCTGGATTACCTCCCTTAAACTTGTATCCATTTATCTTAGCTCTATTTTATGGAACCACAGAGAATATTCAATTCCTTTTCAAAATTAGAGCTGTGGTCAATAAATTCTTTTAAAAGTATTTAGGCTAATTATTCAAAATAACTTCCTCTAATTTTCACATGAGAGCTTCCAGAGTTAGCCATCCTTTTCTATGAAAGTTTCCTTTTGTTCAAAGTTCACTTTTGTCTTGTACCTTCTGAATAGTTTGAATTCTTTATATCACATAAATATCCTTAAAAAATATTTTTAGCCCTGACTGGTTTGGCTCAGTGGATAGAGCGTCGTCCTGCGGACTAAAGGGTCCCAGGTTCGATTCCGGTCAAGGGCATATACCTTGGTTGCGGGCACATCTCCAATAGGGGGTGTGCAGGAAGCAGCTGATCAATGTTTCTCTCTCATTGATGTTTCTAACTCTCTATCCCTCTCCCTTCCTCTCTGTAAAAAAAATCAATAAAATATATTTTTTTTAAAAATATATTTTTAAAGAAAATGATAATTGATCTTGACCAGGGTATGGGCAAACACTACAAATGAGAGTATAAACTGGTATAACTAGGACAGAGCCCTCTGGTAATATGTATCAAAAGTCTTAGAAATGTACATAGACTTTAATCTTTAGTACATACACTCCAAATATCATACTTATAGAAGATTTTCCAAAGGAAATAATCATACATTATTATGCATACAATCATGTTTTTAGAAGGATATTCCTCTAAGTATGATTCATAAGAGGGAAATGCTGAAGTAAGCTAAATGACCATTAATAAAGAACTGGCTTTAAAAATATGGGAAAGTATATGTTCATAAAAAATTATACATATATATTTTTTTACCTAGAAAGATGTATTAAAAGAAAGTAAGTTATAAAATAGTACATTATTTAAAATAATTTAAGTATAATTATTTAGAATATATACATTTAAAACAGTATTTAGCCCTAACCAGTTTGGCTAAGTGGGTAGAGCACCGGAATGCGGACTGAAGGGTTCCAGGTTCAATTCCAGCCAAGGGCACATGCCCGGGTGGTGGACTCGATCCCCCCCAGTCCCAAGTAGGGGGTGTGCAGGAAGCAGCTAATCAATGATTCTCTCTCATCACTGATGTTTCTGTCTCTCTCTCCCTCTCCCTTCCTCTCTGAAATCAGTAAAAATATATTTTAAAAAAACAAACAAAAAATACAGTGTTTGGTTTTTAAAGTTTAGAATGATAGATACTTTAAAAAGTTTAACATAACAGTATCAAGAAAGGCAGAGGACGCCCTGACTGATTTGGCTCAGTGGATAGAGCGTCGGCCTGCGGACTGAAGGGTCCCAGGTTCAATTCTGGTCAAGGGCATGTAAAAAATAATAATAATAAAATAAAGAAAGAAAGAAAGAAAGAAAGAAAAGAAAGGTAGAGGTAATTTATTAGTAGAACCCCATGAAGAAAACTGGCTAGCTGCACAGTAACTGAGTTCAATAAGTCATCTTATATGGGAAATAATGACAAAAAACTATTGGGTAGAACTAAAGATTAATGTAAATGTTCTGCAGAGGTTTTTGTTGTGTTTTTTTTTTTTTTTTTCATGAAACTATATATAAACTTACCTCTTGCCTAGAAAGGGTCATTGGTAATTTTTCCTCTGCCAGTTCAAGTTCTAATACTGGATTCGATGAAGTTAATGGTTTCTGGTCATCCTCTTTTGGCTGTATCTATATTAACAGCAAAAAAAAGAAGTTCAGCTTTTAAAATATAGTTAATATTTGTCATTCTATTAGATTAGCTGTTCAAGACAGTTAAACATGTTTTAAATATTGAAGGTCTAAATGTTCCTCCGAGGAAAGAGCTCATAGTAAATATCCAGCTTTTAAGAGTTTACTAGTATCAAACTTGTCCATTTCAGGGACAGCACACATAGAAAACATGCACATCAGAGACAGCATTCTTGCTACAGAAAAGTGACATTAAGTGTAATGGTTTCCAAAATCAAAGCCGTAAAAGAGCTGTAATTTAGACTCACTTTCTCCTTCAACTCTAAAGAATTTTACTTTGTTTTTTGGGGAAAAAAAAATCAACCTGCTTCTCCTCTTTGAGAAAATCATCCTACAGGGTTGCCTGATTCTTACCCTGGGTTTAAAATGAAAGTCAAAGACAGGAACTGCTTTCTAACAGAAGCCCGTGAAGCTTCAAGAGCCAGCTTTTTCCTACCCTACTTTTTGAAAGGTATTATTCCAAGTGCACAGAAATCACTGTTGGACATGTAGAAAAATTTCCAATGCTACATAGAACTTTTCCACAAAAGTGAGCTACAAACCTTGTGAGAAAATAATGAAAAACAGCACCTCTCTACTTATACCACACAAAGAAAAGAGTGAACATTCTTGTTGATATGAACCTGCAGGGAAAAAAATCTCTTCATGTATTTTCTTGAGTCTGCCGCCCAAGTCACAGTTTGGGAAAATTGAGTTCAGCAATTTATAAGCCCCATTGTGTGGTCTGTAAAAAGATACTGAAACATAGTTTCCCAACTGACCATAAGACCAATCTAAAATGCCAAAAGAAGAAAAAAAAACAACATGAAAGAAGATGAACTTTAAGGAAAAACTCATTCAACTAAGAAAGGCTAAATGGTTAAAATTATATAAATTATGATTCTATAGTTTATGATTAACAGTTAAGTTTATCAGTATTAAGTGTAAAAGAAAATTGAGATAAAAACTAAACTTTCATATTTTCACAAACCAAATCAGCACCAAGCCTTAAAAAAAAATGGGAACTAGTTTCTATAAAAGAATAAAATAATACATGCAATATTTTCATTATTACCAAGAAGGAAATACTAAAAATGTTTATGAAGGAACAACCTCTGCTTTCTTTGTAAGCATAAAAACAGATCATTTCTCAAAAAATCTTAGGATGAAAAGTAGTTTTAATTAAGGAATGGCAGCTGGACTCGACATTACAAGCAGCACCTTTACAGTAATTATTTTGCTTCAGTGCTTTCCTCTATGTAAGCAAGGAAGTACTGCGCTATCACTGAAGCAACCTAAGCAAAGCAAAACTGCCACCATAGTCTTACATTCTTTTCCTACCTTATCAAAAAGTTGAAAGGTTGAAATTTAGGGATCTTGGAAAACAACAAGTCAGCAGACTATACCCAGGGTAAGTAATTCTTATTCCAAATCAAGTTGGAGTTAGACAATGTTGGGGCAAGCAAAAGATGAGAATTCTTTCTGAATATGTATCCAATGGTTACTAACGCAAAACATTATTTTAATTTCCTAAATTAGAAGCAAATGAAATCAATATATTCATGGAAAATATCAAAATACCAATATAAATTTTCATAATTTAGAAGCCTATCAGAAATATAACATTTTTAAAATTTGCCCTCTCCCAACACTACAAAATAAAACCAAATGCATATACATACCATTTGCATTATTCATGCATCCCTCTAGAAATGCTATGCCAGATAAATTAATTTCCAAAACTTTTAACATGACATGCACAAGAGTATTATTTTATATTGATGTTTCACAAGCAAAAAGTTATTTCAAACTTATGATTTAGCAAAAGAGAGCCTTCTGCAATTTGGTTTAAAAATTATTAAACTAGATATAGTCTTTTAAAAATAATTTAAACATAACCTTTAACCCCTCCCAATAAAAAACCCCAATGTTATTCAACTAGATAATCTCAAAGACAATTTCAGTCATGGTTCTAAAATGTACAGTCTTCCAGACAACTCATTTGTTTTGAACAAATATTTCAATATTACATTTTCTATCCAACAGACTGAGCAGTGTTTGAAATGTGGTTCCTTATACACAAAAGCATATAAATGTTATACGGCAATATATTTCAGGCAGAGGTGCTTAGGCCAAAAGGAATTATTAACAATGTAAACATAAAAACTGGTTTAAAATATTCAGGAGAAAGCAGGGGAAATACCACTGCTAATACCACTGTTATTGAATGAATAAAATGTTTTTAGCCCTTTAAAAATAGACTTTTATTGGGAGAGGTGGAGTGAGGGAGTGGTGGGGAGATGAAAATGAGGCAGCATCAGATCCAGGACTTAATTAAAAAAAAAAAAAAGGAAAGAAAATCAAGCTTTGATCTCAAGCCACTTCATGCTGTCAACAGAAGGCCAAACCATTCCAAGCCAAAAGTCATGCATGTATTTTCCTAAATTCAAGATAAAAAATCAAGAAAAACAAAAACAAAAATTCATACCTCTCCAGATGGCTTCTCATTTATAGGCTAATGTATAACATTGATAAATTGAACAGAGATCAATAATTTTGTCACTTTAACAACAGCTGTATAAATTTAAACTCAGAAATAAGACAATGTAACATAAAAGCAGGAATTCATACCTTGTAGCCACATCTTTCGTAATATGCTTCCTCTTCTTTTTTTGCAAGTTCACTACGCTTGAAATATTTTTTATTTTCCTATTGAAGAAGAAGTGAGTTAATAATATATCCTTGCATAAAATTTAATGTCCCCTAATCAACAACCTGAAAAAACTCTTCAGTTTCTCAAGAAATGGTAAAGTTTTTTGGTTGCATAGAAATTATATTGATTTCCTGAACACAACACCTGTACTCAACCTCTAAATTTGAAGTACATATTTCTCTTGCAGTATCATTTTAACAGGCATATCCAATAGCAAAGAGAAGAAAACAATATTTCCCAAATGTTCACACTTTTGATTTAATTTCCCAATATTTGAGTTCAGTGATAATCTCTACAAATGTATTTATTATGAACCACATGAAATAGAATGCTTTAGTTTTTTTTTCCATCAGAAGTAATCAAACAGAAATTATGGTATCTATAGCTAACATCTTACATCTCATTACCAAGAGAGTTCCAAGAGTGTGTCCAAATTCTTTTCATCATCTAAAACACTACTATATCAATTAATTGTATTTCATTAATTCTTAAAATTGAATTAATTCTTAAAATAATCTAGGCATAGAATGGTTTTAGAGAGTTTTTTTACTTAAAGACAGTTTAAAGGCATTTGTTTTAATATGACTTGATGTCAAAAGAGACAAGCTCTAAATCTATTATAATGGTGAAAAAAAAATTAGTTCTTCCTACACTAGTACTATATATAAAACTATCCTTGCTGTTAAATCTAGAGTCACTAATTTGGAGGCTTGTTACTATCTACAGCTCTTATTCCACTGATGACTTGACTCAAAGACGCTGCCTTGCCTTGGTCAGTGTGGCTCAGTTGGTTGAGTGTTGTCCCATGCACCACAAGATGGCGGGTCCAATTCCAGGTCAGGGCCAGGGTGCAGGTTTGAACCCCGGTTAGGAGGCAGCCAATCGATGTTTCTCTCTCATACTGATGTTTCTCTCTTTCTTCCTCCCTCTCTAAAATCAATAAAAACATTTTTTTTTAAAGCTACTGTCCTACTTTATTGCTGAAACCGGTTTGGCTCAGTGGATAGAGCATCAGCCTGCGGACTGAAAGGTCCCAGGTTCGATTCCGGTCAAGGGCATGTACCTGGGTTGCGAGCACATCCCCAGTAGGAGATGTGCAGGAGGCAGCTGATCAATGTTTCTCTCTCATCGATGTTTCTAACTCTCTATCTCTCGCCCTTCCTCTCTGTAAAAAATTAATAAAATATATTTTAAAAAAGTTACTGTCCTACTTTATTAATAGTAATTATAATAGTACCTCAATACTACCTCAGGTATTTAGCACCTCATAATCCAAAGCTAATTCACTCAGGCAATGACCATAATGGATGCTAAGACCATTACAAGAAAGGCTGATGGTGAACAATGGAAAGACCAGTCTGCCAATACTTGAACCCACTGATGAAGTTTGACATCAAGAAAACATTATGCACCTCCCTATGTGATACACATAAAAGTATACAGCACCATTGATACAGCATTTTTTAAAAATTCTTTATTGTTTAAAGTATTACATGGCTCCTTTTTCCCCCATTGACCTCTCCCCGCCCATTCCCGCCCCCCAGCACAGGCCCTCATCCCCCTACTGTCTGTGTCCATTGGTTATGCTTATATGCATGAATACAAGACCTTTGGTTGATCTCTTACCCCCTCTTCTGCCCTCCCTTTAAGGTTTGACAGTCTGTTCGATGCTTCTATGTCTCTGGATCTCTTTTTATTCATCAGTTTATGCTATTCATCATATTCCACAAATGAGTGAGATCATGTGATGCTTATCTTCCTCAGACTGGCTTATTTCATTTAGCATAATGCTCTCCAGGTCCATCCATGCTGTTGCAAATGGTAAGAGTTCCTTCTTTTTACAGCAGCGTAGTATTCATTGTGTAGATGTACCACAGGTTTTTAATCCACTTATCTGCTGATGGGCACTTAGGCTGTTTCCAAATTTTAGCTATTGTAAATTGTGCTGCTATGAACAAAGGGGTGCATATATCCTTTCTGACTGGTGTTTCTGATTTCTTGGGCTATATTCCTAGAAGTGGGATTGCTGAGTCAAATAGGAGTTCCATTTTTAATTTTTTGAGGAAACTCCATACTGTTTTCCACAGTTGCTGCAAGAGTCTGCATTCCCACCAGAGTGTATGAGGGTTCCTTTTTCTCCACATCCTCCCCAGCACTTGTCTTTGTTGATTTGTTGTGGATATCCATTCTGACAGGTGTGAGATGGCGTCTCATTGTCATTTTGATTTGTATCTATTGATTAGTGACTTTGAGCATGTTTTCATGTCTCTTGGCCTTCTGTATGTCCACTTCCGAAAAATGTCTAGTATTTAGGTCCTTTGCCCATTTTTTTATTGGATTGTTTATCTTCCTTTTGTTAAGCTGTATAAGTTCCCTATAAATTTGGAGATTAACCCCTTATCAGATGTAACATTGGCAAATATGTTCTCCCATACATTGGGCTCCCATTTCATTTTGTTGATGGTTTCTTTTGCTGTGCAGAAGCTTTGTATTTTGATGTAGTCCCATTCATTTATTTTCTCTATTGTCCTTGGAGATATATTGCTATGAGATATGTCTGATATTTTGCTGTCTATGGATTCTTTTAAGATTTTTATGGTTTCCCATCTTATGTTTAAGTCTTTTATCCATTTTGAATTTATTTTTGTGTGTGGTGTAAGTTGGTAGTCTAGTTTCATTTTTTTTCACGTATCTGTCCAATTTTCCCAACACCATTTACTAAAGAGACTGTCTTGACTCCATTGTATGCTCTTGCCTCCTATGTCAAGTATTAATTAAGCATAATGGCTTGGGTTGATTTCTGGGTTCTCTGTTCTGTTCCATTGGTCTATATGTCTGTTCAGTACCAGGCACTTTTGAGAACAGTGGCCTTATAATATAGCTTGATATCTGGTAAGATACAACTTTCTTGCCAAAAAGGTAAATATGAATCTAATAAAATATTTAGGTCTAACTTCCAGTTTACCAGAAATGTAGGGAATAACACCAAAGGAAACAATGAAACACTGAAAAGTTTTACAAACTAGCTCCACTTTCTCCAACAAGTTAATGGCATCAAGAAGGGGTGGAACTGGGGGGAATAAAAATGTTTTCAATGAAAAGAAACCAAGAGTCATAATAAACAAATGCAATGACTGCAGTTTGTGTGGATCTGATTCAAACAAACCAACCATAAAAAGATATATATGCCTATATTTTACTTCAATAGGAGATACTTGAGCGTGAAAGGAGTACCTGATGATATTAAGGACCTAATTTCAATTTTGTTTAGGTGTCACTTTGTTTATGTAAAAACATTTTTTAAGTGACTTTAGAGAGAGGAAGGGAAAGAGAGGGAGAGAAGCACTGAGGGGCATTGATCAGTTGCCTTCTGCATGTGCCCCAACCAGGTATCGAACCCACAACCCGGGCATGTGCCCTAACTGAGAATCAAATCCACCAACCTTTGGTGTATGGGACAACGATCCAAACAAGCCACACCAGCCAGAGCTATATAAAAACATATTCTTATTTTCTAGAGTTACCAATCTTTAGGTGAAGGGGTAGACAGGGGCTCATTATATGATTATGTTTTTATGTATGTTTAAAACTTTTGTAATAAAATTTCTTAAAGTCCATAAACTCAATAAACATCTACACATACCAAGCACAGCTTTATAGATTTAACGATGAAGAAGATATTAACTGGGGTAAGGAACGAATGGTATCATCTGAATATCAAAACTACCCTGAAAAAGGTAGAGCTAATATTAATCCCATAGTAGAGGTAAGAAACCTGAGCATTAATTAGAAAGATTAGATGCCCTATACTGTTTGGCTCAGTGGATAGAGTATTGGCCTGCAGACCGAAGGGCCCAGAGTTCAATTCCAGTCAAGGCCACATACCTCAGTTGCAGGCTCCTCCCGGGCCCAGGCACTGGTGGAGGCTTGTGCAGGAGGCAACCAATCGATGTGTTTCTCTCACATCAATATTGCTCTTTGTCTTTTTCTCTCTTCCACTCTCTCTAAAAAAAAAAAAAAATCAATGGAAAAATATTCTTGGGTGAGAATTAAAAAAAAAAAAGATCAGGTGACATTCCCAGAATTTGTAAGCCTCATGAGTAACAGAGGCAGGACTAGAACTTTGTCCTTAAATCCTTTGTACTATACAGGATTCCATGCTACAGTTCTTCACTCCCAAATGTTATTTTTTAAAAATATATTTTATTGATTTTTTACAGAGAGGAAGGGAAAGGGATAGAGAGTTAGAAACATTAATGAGAGAGAAACATCGATCAGCTGCCTCCTGCACACCCCCTACTGGGGATGTGCCCGCAACCAAGGTACATGCCCTTGACCAGAATCAAACCTGGGGCCCTTCAGTCGCAGGCTGATGCTCTATCCACTGAGTCAAACCGGTTAGGGCCCCCAAATGATATTTCAGCATCATAAACTGCTCTTTTTGAGTATGTAGCAGGTAATTTACATATTTCAATTAAATAAGTTGACAAACACATATGGTATCCTCTCAAAAAGAGCAGATATAAAGGAAGAAAGTAAAAGGACCCTCCAGGCCAGAGTCCATGGTCTAATCTATAACTATGAGGGGCCCAATGCATGAATTCGTGCACCTTGAAAGGAACTGTGGGCCGTGAGGCTGCTGTGAGCACAGGGGCAGGTCTCAGCCCATCCTCCGCAGCCCCACCCGCCCCCTGCCCATCACATCCCGCTGCGGCCCCTGGTCCCCAGTCTGCCTGCAGCCCTGCTCCCGCTGCCGCCACTCCCATGTACTAATGGCACAGAGCAATTGGGGCTGGCATCAGCAGCCGGTGCAAGCAGGGCCAGCACAGTCAGTGGGTATGAGTGACAGCTGCTGCCCCGATGATCACCCCTCAGGAGCAAGGGGAGGTGGAGAAGCCCTCAGGGGCAATCGGGGCCAGCAGCCGCAGCTCGCATCTGCTGACAGCGCCAAGTGATTGGGACCAGCACTGGCAGCGGGTGCAAGCAGCGGCTCTGGTGCTAGCTGCGGGTGCGAGCAGGGCCAGCGTTGGCAGTGGGTGCAAGCAGGGCTGTCACTGGCAGCGGGTGTGAACGAGGCCAACGTCAGCAGCATGTGCGAACATGAGGCGGGACTGTGGCATGCAGGAGCAAAGAATTTTCAGTAACCACCAGAAGCTTGCCCTGATGGCGCCCCTGCTCACCTGCTCCACTTTCTCTACCATCCTGCAATGGCCGACGCCCGCCACGTTCCCCATGGTGGTCAGCACACATCATAGCGACTGGTTGTTTGGTTGTTCGCCATTCGGTCTATTTGCATATTAGGGTTTTATATATATGGATGGTATCTTTTACTTCCATGTCTCAATTTCATTGACACACCTAACAAAATCTTAAGCCTAGAATATCAATTCTCAAAATGTGGTTCACAGGCTTCTGGGTGTCCCCTAGATCTTTTCAGAGATTCTGTGAGGTCAAATTTATTTTCATAATAATACTAAGATGTTATGTGCCACTTTTTCACTGTGCACACACTTGTACTAATGGTATTAAAGCAATGGTGAGGAAAACTACTGGAATCTGAGCATACATAAAGGCTAAGTACCTTATTTATGTAGCAGTGGTCACTGTATTCCTCACCACCATGCACTGCCAGGAAAATAGAGAGGCCAGTTTCTCTTTTGTCTTCATAAAGTACAATTTTGCTAAATCTCAACCCTTGAGTACATAGCCTTTAAATATTTGATATGATGAAATAAGATATGAAACATACGAAGCACTTCTGCTACATGAAGTGGGATCATTGTCTCAAAGAAAAGCACTTGCGCAACTGATTATTCAGACTTGCATAGTAGACATTTTCTCAAAACTGAACAAAGCAAGCCTGTCACTTTAAGGAAAACAATGACAGTACTTATCAGCTATGATAAAATTCCATCTTTCAAGCGAAAATTAGAATGGTGGGAAACATGTATCCATCACTGTGAACTTGATGGTTTCCCAATACTTAACGGTTTTTCTGATGAACTAAAAATAGTATTAGCGAACGTGATTTATTTTATATTATCTAAAGAAATATATCGACATTTAGAAGACCTGCTAAACTCAGCAAACCATGTCACAAAGGCAAGATGTTACAAAATCATGCACAGGCAGAATACCTATGAGCAGAATAGATCAGAAGAGATGTAGAGCAGAATATATCAATGGATTTTATATACAAAAAGTCATTGATATGTGTCACAATCCAGTCTTAACTAATCTTTAAGAAATTTACCATTTGTCTATTTTTGGTGTAATATTAAAGGAGAACCACAATTATTTGAAAAGGTTATTAAAATAGTCCCTTTTCCAATTACTTATCTGTATGAGGATGAAATTTCATCACATAATTGAACAAAAACAGCATATTGCAGCAGGTTGAATGGAGAAACACGAAGGAGAATCCAACTATCTTCTAATATACCAGAGATAAAAAGATCTGCAAAATTGTCAAACCACTGTTCTCTCTAAATTTCTTTTGTTTTGGAAAATATAGTCAATTTTCATAAAAATGTATTATTTATGTTAACTTATGATGGATTTCTATTGTATTTCTACATGGACTATATCTAAACATTTTTAATTTTCTCAGTTTTAATTTCTAATAGAGTCATTATCAATAAATACACCCTACATAAACAAAAGTTCTCCAGAACTATCAATAAAAACTCTGTGAAGGGGTCCTAAGACCAGTAAGTGAGAACACTGTCCTTGAAGACTCTTCCTATTGGCATTCTCCCCACCTGCATCTAGTGGGCCTTTATAAATGCAGGGAGCCCACTTGGGCCTCAGTGGGGTTCACTGATCCAAGTGTAATTCACTGTTCAGTTTTCTGTCCTACTGTCTACACTGATCGTAACCCATTCTCTCAAACCTCTTATCCCTTCATTTCTCCCCTCATTTTCAGCAAATGACTAAGCCAATCTACAAAGAAATGAAAAGCCATGAAACAAGAATTTCTCCAAATTCCTCCCAGCACCAAACCTTACCTGGATCTGTACCAATCCCTTCATCATTTCAGAATGGAAGGGGAAACCATCCTCCTAGTTAAGGCCAATCCCTTCCAAATGTATTCCATCAATTCCTCCTGCCTTTCTCAGGGATGTCTCATAGAAGACTGTTGCAAGTAAAGGGGTAAACAAATGTGAGGAAAGGCAAGTTCAAGGAACTGAAAAAGTTCAGAAGTTCAGTAGAGCCAGGAGGTAATGGCATGGAGATTTTCACCAGCATAGAAATTACTAGGTGTTTTTTTCTTCTTCTTCTATTTTTTGTTTTTAAAAAATTACTAGTTCTTGACCTTTTTGAGTCAAAGATCCCTTTAATAATATCATACACAGGAGAAAGGAAAGAGGGGGCATTTATATTATATAACTAAATGCTAAATTTTTTTTAGCTGATGGATATTCTGAAGTCCATCCAAAGGCTGCATTTAAGAAACCCTGAAATAGATGGTAACTGAAATCTAGAGGTGGATATAAAATTAATATAAGAGAATATTCAGTGTGGAGAGAAAGTGGCCTAGGCCTGAACTTTAAAGAAAACCAACATTTACGGGACAAACAAATCACACACACAAAAAAAGAAGTCTTTCAAAAAGATCGAGAATAAGCAGCCTGATAGGTCGAAGGAAAAATAGGAAGCTGTGGCAGAAGAGATGCCAAGGGAAGAATGAAGGAGGACGACCAGCCAAGTGTGTCAAATGCTGTTGTTAGTCAGGAAAATGGAGGTCACTGTTGTCACAGTATCACTGTGGGGGCAGAAACCAGTTTGTATCTGGTGAAGGAATGAGTGAGAATTAAAATTTATTTTAGGAAGCTTGGCTATGCCCTAGCAGGTTTGGCTCAGTGGACAGAACGTCGGCCTGCAGACTGAAGGGTCCCAGCTTTGATTCCGGCCAAGGGCACATGCCAGGGTTGTGGGCTCCATCCCCAGTAGGGGGCATGCAAGAGGCAAACGATCAATGATTCTCTCTCATCATTGATGTTTCTATTTTTCTCTCCCTCTCCCTTCCTCTCTGAAATTAATGAAGAAAGAAGGAGGAGGGGGGGAGGGGGGAGGGGAGGAGAGGGGAGCAGCAACAGCAGCAGCTTGGCTATAGCCCAGCTGGTGTGACTCAATGGTTGAACGTCAACCCATGAGCCAAGAGGCCATGGTTCGATTCCCAGTCAGGGCGCATGCCTGGGTTGTGGGCTTGGTTCCCAGTGGGGGGCGGGCAGGAGGCATCCAATCAATGATTCTCTCTCACCATTGATGTTTCTATCTCTCTCTTTCCTTCTCTCTTCCTCTCTGAAATCATGTAAAATATATATATTCTTTAAAAGATTGGCTATAAAGAAAAAGGATGCTGCTTAAAAAAACACACACAACAACAAACCTTTTTAAAAATGGGAGAGACATTTTTATGTTTCATTGCTGATGGAGATAAGCCAGTAGACAGACTAAAGATACAGGAAGAAAGGGGATAAGTAATACTAAGGTTCCTGATGATGCAAAAAAAGATGAGCTGGGATCCAATGTGCAGGTAGAAGTTTTGACCCCAAGCTGTAACTGATATCTCATTCTATTCCACAGAGAAAAAGAGAAGAGATTTCTGGCCTTTGGCTTCTTTTTTTCTGTAAAATTGAATGCATGCATGGTCTTTAAAGAATCAAGCATTACTGTATTTTTAATCCTCTGAGGCAGAGTGTAGTATCATGCATATGAGAAACATCCAATAAATATAATTCTACACAAATCTTCATAACTAATAACTAATGAAACTTCTAATTATGTCCCAACAGCCTAGTTTTCCACATAAATGAGGTGTTGCATTAAGTGAAGATTCACCAAACCCGGGGCTCCAAAGCACTGGTATTCAAGCAATTACCTCACAGTAGTTACACCAGACAGAACGTTTTAGGACAGGTGACAGGCGGCTTAGGAGGTTTATCTTAGGAGCTTCTGCAGTTTAACAAAGGGGCAGTCACAAGGTGTTTACTATTTCAACTGTCAGACTAACAATAAAAAGCTAGGACATCACTTGAAATGACCAAGAGTACAGGTGTTTTCCAGCTAAAGATAGGGCAATGAAAACCATTCAGTGATCTCCAATCAGCATTTTTTTAAAATGAAACAGAATGGATTAAAATAATAAAACAAATTATAGGATCACATATGGTTAAGGTAAGAATCATCTCATGAAACTTTTTTCATATATATCAGAACAAAATATAAAAAATATTTCTTACTGTGGCTGGAGCAGTGAAAAAGTATGAAAGTTACTGACACTATGATGCAGAAAGATAAAGGCTATAAAGTAACAGTTCCTATACAGTTAGAAATTACACAGCTATAAATCAAAAGACTATTCCCATGCATACAAGAAAAGATGTCTGGTTACACATATTCTCTTATACAGGCACGCCTCGAAGATACTGCTGGTTAGGTTCCAGAACACTGCAATAAAATGAGTGCTGCGATAAAGTGAGTTGTAACTTTTTTGCTGGTGGAGGGTCTTCACCTTACATTGTAAAAGATGCAACATCTGTGGGGGGCAATAATGTGAAGCACAGTATAATGAGGTATGTTTGTATTATTCAAGAGCACTCACTTACCTGATCATGCATATATGTACATTATAAACCTGGGGGGAGAGCTCAGCTTTTTGTGATTCAATTTTCCCTCTAAAGTACTTAAATTTCAACACCCCGGCTTTCCTAACACCAGCTATGCATTCCAACATCTAAATTACTTTTTTCAAATACTCTCAAATCACTTACCTGAAGAAAAAGGTCCCTGAAGATAATAAGTTACAAATATGGGCAAGCTTTCCCCCTCTATCTGCTAAATAATATTCTATTTAAGGAGCTCTATATTGCTAAGTATTTTTGAAGTTTCACTGATTAGGAAATCAGCCATCCACCAAACAATTCCAACTTACACTACATCATATATATTAATAGGACATTCCATCCAAGGACCTAAGCAGATATTCTCCAAGCATGGTCCTCAGACCCCTGGGATCCTGAAGATCCTTTGAGAGCCTGTGAAGTCAACTATTTTCAATACGAAGGTACTGTTTCCCTGTACCCTGTGGTCATCTGTACTGAGGGTGAAAGGCAATGGTGAGTCTCCGGGTGCCTTGGCAGGTATTCCTAAAGCACTTCTCCTTTCTACGGAAGTATGACGAGAAAGCACTTGCGTGATTAAACTGCAGGCTAAACCCGCTGCTTTTATCGTGGAATATCATTTTCACAGGAAAGAATATCTACAAACTATACTAACTCAGACTTAACTTCCAAAAAGTGAACCTGCCCCTTCTGGGAAACAACTGATAGTATTTGCCACCTATGATAAAATTCCAGCTTTCAAGTGAAAAATAAAATTGTGGAGATCTTAGACCTGCCATCATGAGCTTGACGGCGGTCCAATACATAAAGAAATTTCTCGTGATGTCCGTGTTGATATTAAATAACGTAATTTTAAAAATATGGTGTAATGAAATATGGTGTAATCAACATCTGGAAGATCTGCATAACTCTGAACCAATACCTTCAAATCATCAATGAATTAACATATAAATACCTTTAAAGCGTCTCAGCTTTCATTTGTAATACAGTAAAATATCGATAAACACTTAAACAAAAGCCCTTTGGGATCCTCAATAATTTGGAAGAGTGTAAAGGGGTCCTCAAACCAAAAGCTTTGAGAACCGATGATCTAAGTTATTGTTATGCAACAAAGTAATGGAGATCAACTTAAGGAAGTTCCTAATTCTCCCTCCTCTTTCTCCACTGTTTCTGCACCAGTGTTAGCCCCCCTTTGGGCGAAGAGCTGACCGACAGACCTTTCTATGTGTACTGCGGACGGGGGTGATAGAAAATGTAACAAATAACCTGTTTACTAGTCGGAAGGAATCAAATACTTTAAAAGACTAGTTCTGAGTCTGCCCTTCCTCGTCTAGGGCTTCAGTTGGGCACAAACCCTGAGTAACACCATAAGGTGAGGGACAGGAGAACTGGGGCCGAATTCCGAAGAATGCCGACAGGTGGGCGTGCGGGTGAGGCGCTGAGAACCTGCGCGGGAGTGAGGGGCAAATGTGGGGGGAGTTTTGCCAAAATCCTGGGTTTTCCTGCCACTCCCCCACTTTCTCCGGAGGCTGCCGAGTAGGGAGAACCAGGGGAGGAAGGGGGGACGGGGGAGGGGGCTCTCGCTCACCCAGGGCCTCCCGAAACCCTCTCGGTACCAGTCCCTACTCCCAGGCTCCCCTCCGGCCGCCCCCCCTACACACCCCGCGCCTCGACCCCAGGCTCCTCACCACCAACAGGTTCCTGTCCTCCACCAGCTGCCGCTTCCGGAGGATCTCCGACTTCAGAATGTCCATGTCGTCGCCCGGTTTAAGCTGGAGGTCCTCCCTCCGGCTCCTCCGGCCAAGCCTCACCCGGCCGGGCGCTGCGGAGCACGGAAACCGCAGCCCAAACACTGTAGCACTTCACTGACAGCAGCCGCTTCCGGCGGAAGCTGAGGTGAGTGACGGGCGGAGAGAGAGCACCCAGGGCGCCCGTTGTGGACGGAGCCGCCGTGGAGGAGCGGCCCCTAGCGGCGCCCTTGGGCAGCGCGCCCGCAGTGTTCACTTAGACACGTACAAATCAACATAAGTCTTCTGGATTGTGGGGACGTCTACCAGCTTCGTTTTAATGGTGATATTATACATGCTAGTTCAGGCCCAAAAACCTCCTAGCAGAAGACCTCAATTATGTTAAATAAGACCAGGTCCTTACTTATTATACCAGAGGTTCATATCAGAGTTTCTGAAGTTACCTGCTTGCCAAAATTAATATAGAGAGTGAGGACAAATCTGAACACTATTTCCAGCTCATTAATATAAAATAAAAGGGCAAGGTTCATTGCTAGCCTGTTAAAGTCCATCTAAAGTTAACCAATTACATCCACTGAAATCTTTTTCAGAAGTAAATTTGTCTTTCCCACCCTAACTCCCTCACAGGAATACTGTGAAATATCACAGGACGACAGATGTGAGAGCAAATTTTGAACTAGGAAGTGTAGCCCTCATGTAAAGTCTGATCATAATGACCCTTATCCTCTGTTGTGGCTCACATCACCCCTCCCACCTGCAATCTTCTCCAACCCCCTCCAATCCCCCCCCCCCCCCAATCTTTCCCTAGTCTAGTGGTCGGCAAACTGTGGCTCACGAGCCACATGCGGCTCTTTGGCCCCTTGAGTGTGGCTCTTCCGCAAAATACCACGTGCAGGCGTGCACGTACAGTGCGATTGAAACTTCGTGGCCCATGCGCAGAAGTCGGTATTTTGTGGAAGAGCCACACTCAAGGGGCCAAAGAGCCGCATGTGGCTCGCGAGCCACAGTTTGCCGACCACTGCCCTAGTCCAAGGAGCTCTCCACCAGACCCTGAACTGGATCCTTCCCTTCCAACTCCACTTTTGCCTCTTGCCCTTGTCCTCTTTGTCTCCATATTGGCGATTTCCATCCCCTGGCACACACAAACTAATTACTAAAATTCTGCGGCACACCAAAAATATACGTTTTGCTACTCTGACAAAGAAAAAGGTATACTTTTGATTCATTCACATCGGTTAGCTATTGTTATGTTGGCTGTTGCCATTTTTTTAATTTGGCAATCCAAGGGAAAAGATATCAGTGCCTGACTAAATAGTCAGGTACTGCATGTTCTAAAAATTCTTGTGGCACCTCGATTGAAAATCACTGCTCCATATTCCTACACTATGCTTGTCATTGTTCTTATCTGGTTTCCAAGCATCAAATTTGGAAGGCCCTAGCCTAGAGGAACTTCTGTAGACACCCTATGACAGCAGTGAGAAGTGATCATTGAGAATGGAGAAGACTGTTAAAAAAAACAAACTCAGGAACATAAAGTTCTGCATGTAAAGGGTGTCCCAAAAAATGTATACATACTTTAACAGCTGTTAGGTCAATTTTGAAAATGAAATGTATTTTAATAAACACTACCTTTATAATTATTCAAAGTGTATGTATACATTTTTGGGGGGATATATGTATATATAATTAGAGGCCCGGTGCATGAAATTCATGCATGAGGGTGTCCCTCAGCCCAGCCTGCACCCTCCCCAATCTGGGACCCCTCAGGGGATGTCCGACTGCCGGTTTAGGCCTGATCCCTGTGGGACAGCCCTCTCACAATCCAGGACTGCTGGCTCCTAGACACTCGCCTTCCTGCCTGTCTGATCGCCCCCTAACCCAGTGATGGCAAACCTTTTGAACTCAATGTGTCAACATTTTGAAAAACCCTAACTTAACTCTGGTGCTGTGTCACATATAGAAATTTTTTGATATTTGAAACCATAGTAAAACAAAGACTTATATTTTTGATCTTTATTTTATATATTTAAATGCCATTTAACAAAGAAAAATCAACCAAAAAAATGAGTTCACGTGTCACCTCTGACACACGTGTCATAGGTTCGCCATCATTGCCCTAACCGCTCCCCTGCCAGCCTTATTGACACCTAACTCCTCCCCTGCAGGCCTGATCACCCCCAAGTGCCCTCCCCTGCCCGCCCGATGGCACCCAACTGCCCTCCCCTGCAGGCCTCGTCCCCCCCAACTGCCCTACCCTGCTGGCCATCTTGTGACAACATGGGGGCAGGCATCTTGTGACAACGTGGGGATGGCCATCTTGTGATGGTGTGAGGGTCAATTTGCATATTACCTCTTTATTATATAGGATATCCAGTTTCACTGACTGAAGCAAATAAAGGCTGATAGGCTGATAATGATTAATCTTAAATACTAGGCTAAGAAAAAAATTAGACTAAAAATCTTAAAATATAATAATATAATTACTAGAATTTTCTGCAAATGTAAATAAACTTCTTTTAGACTTACTGAGAAACGTCTCATAAATAAATTCAATAAGTTACAATATGTGAGAATATTATATTCTCACTCTAATTACAACTTTGTACAATAATAAATATTCTTTTTTAATACTTAACCTCTATACTTTTTTAAAAATATGTTTTTATTGATTTCAGAGAGAGGAAGGGAGAGTGAGAAAGAGATATAAATATCAATGATGAGAGGGAATCATTGATCGGCTGCCTTTTGGCATGACCCCTACTGGAGATCAAGCCCACAACCTGGGAATGTGCCCTGACCAGGAATCAAACCACAACCTCCTGGTTCATGGGTCGACACTCAATCTTGATGATGCACTTTAGCTATCAAAAGCAGATAAAAATTGTAAATATATATATACTTTAAGGAAACAGGATTAATACACTTTTAAAATAATATCATCTAAACTACATGCCTAAATGTGTGATTGATGACCTAATATGAATAATTTATTACTCAAGAATTATGAACAGCGACTTTGTTGTATTGAGTAACATGATATTATTATAAATATACTGTTTTAGATATTTGTTTAAAATTTTAAGGAGCCGAAACCGGTTTGGCTCAGTGGATAGAGCGTCGGCCTGCGGACTGAAAGGTCACAGGTTCGATTCCGGTCAAGGGCATGTACCTGGGTTGCAGGCACATCCTCAGTAGGAGATGTGCAGGAGGCAGCTGATCGATGTTTCTCTCTCATCGATGTTTCTAACTCTCTATCTCTCTCCCTTCCTCTCTGTAAAAAATCAATAAAATATATTTTAAATAAATAAATAAATAAATAAATAAATAAAATTTTAAGGAAAAAGATGATGTAGTATCATAACACTAGGTGGCGGTAACTGATTTTAGAAATTAAATTGTGAAAATATTTTAACATGTATTTTTTGAACTCAAAAACCATTTAGTGCTGCTTACATTTCAGAAGGAAAGGAGGGAAAAATTCACAAGGCTATACAGTACCATTTCTACCCATGTGGGCTGCTCATCCCCACTCCATTCTTTTCCTGTGAATGATATAATTCAATAATTCTCAAATTTGTTGGTCTCATGCCCTTTACACTTAAAAATTTTTGAGCATCCTAAGAGCTTTCCCTAATGTGGGTAATAAGCAAATAATGATTAATGTTTTTCTTGTTAGAATTTAAGACTGAGAAATTTAAAAAGATATATTGAGTCATTTCAAAATAATAATAATACACCCAATGCTTCTTAATATAACTATTTTTATGAGAAAATAACTATTTGACAAAACAAAAAAAAATGAGTAAGAAGAATTACTTTGTTTTAAATCCCTTTTAATGTCTAGATTATTAGTATATAACTGGATCCTCATATTTATTTATAGATTCAATCTGTTGAAATATAACATATTAGCCCTGGCCAGTGTGGCTTAGGACACATGCTGGGGTTTCAGGCTTGATCTGAAGTAGGGGACCTGCAGGAGGCAGCCCATCGATGTTTCTCTCTCTCATCAATGTGTCTATCTCTCTCTTCCTGTCACTTCCTCTCTCTGAAATCAATTAAAATATATTTAAAATTTTTACTGGGTGAAAGTACAAATAAGCAAAAAATATAAATGTAGAACTGCAATAACCGCACCTATCAGGAGAAAACCATATTGGCAGACAACCCTTATGTACTTTACCTGCATATCCTATATAATAAAACCCTAATATGCAAATCGACCAAACAGCAGAACAACTGGTCACTATGATGCGCACTGACCACCAGGGGGCAGACGCTCAACACAGGAGCTGCCCCCTGGTGGTCAGTACGCTCCCACAGGTGGAGCGCCGCTCAGCCAGAAGCCGGGCTTATGGCTGGTGAGTGCAGCGGTAGTGGCGGGAGCCTCTCCAGCCTCCGCTGCAGGCGGGTGGTAAGGAGTGAGGGGTCCCAGCCTGTGAGAGCCCTGGACTGCTAGAGGGATGTCCCAGACTGCTAGAGGGTGCAGGCCAGGCTGAGGGACCTCCCCACTCCCCCAGTGCACTAATTTCATGCACCAGGCCTCTAGTCTCTATATATAATCTCTCTATATAAAAGGCTAATATGCTAAGTGTCCAACCATCTGACCGGTCGCTATGATGTGCTCTGACCACCAGGAAGCAGACACCTAACACAGGAGTTGCCAAGCTGCAGTGACTTGGCAGTAGCGGTTCTTGGGTGACGCACCCCAAAACCAGAGAGGAGGGAACCCAAATCCTCATAAGGGCTGCGCAATTCCACCTTCAGCCATGGGTTATGTTGTTGCTAGGGCACTGTTGCCCCCGAATCTGGTTTACTGCACACTTGTGTTTGTGTTCCACACCCTGTACGACAGCAACTTTGCAGAGTGCCCTTTTGCACTCCAGGACCCCTCGGGGGAATATTGGAGAGCCGGTTTCGGCCTGATTCCCACAGGCCAGGCTGAGGGACCCCACCTGCTGGAGGGATCCTGCTCACTCCACAGACACTGGGCAGGGACCGAGGGAGGTTGGCTCTAGGGCGTGTCCAGCCCAACTCTCCCAGTCCCGCCCTGCTGGCCAC